GTGCAATGTGATTGCCTAAAACGGGAACTCTATATGCGTGGTTGCGGAGAGTTTGCAAAACGAATTCCAGTCACGTGCTAACGTGCCTTTTCCCCTGCTGGTAGCAAAAGTACGGTCGGCCACGATCTATAAGGGAAAAGGGGTGTATTCCGCATTGAATGCCTGCAGGAAGAAGGTCGCAATTGCGACAGACAGACAGGCAATCGTGATTCAACCTCTTATTTTTGCAGCCAGATGTTTTCCGAAGCTTTAAAAGATTGATGCTCGTTAAGTGATTAATTGTTTATTTGCAGTAACGAATTTCGGATAACGAATTTTAATTTTATTACTTTTTAAGAATATGAATGAAAAAATATAATTTAACGACGAAGAGAGGGTAATTAAAAATTAAATTTTTGTCGATCTAAAAAGCTGATTTTCATGAAGAGCTTCGTATGAAAAATTTTCTACACTTGTTTCTTCTCTTTCTTAGATTTATCTTTTCGCATTTGTACCACCGATATCAGAATACAGTAGAGTGGCGCAATCGGTATGCGGCGGAGACATGACGACGGTTGCATTTTGTTATCCTTGTACCTGACGATTATTTCCAAAACACAGTCTTCGTTTCACCTCGCCTGAAAGTTTTAGTATGCAATCTGCGAATTCTATCCCGCTATCGGAAAAGTTCAGGCGCATACCATTGCGCTCTGTCCGTTGTTGTCTTGAACCCTGGCTACATTTTGTATGAGAAGTACGCTCTGTACGCTAAATAGCCCGCTTTAGATCGGATTTAAGAACATGCTCGTGCCTCCAGCGAACGATTTGCGTATTTGATGTTATTTTCCGGCATCGAGAGACTACGATTTTTCCCGTTTTTTCCTACTCCAATACGTAATTTATGCTTATTTTCAGACATGTTGTGTATTATAAATAATGTATAAAAAAATTACAAAAATAATATAAATTTGAAGAATTTCAAAGAATTCTGCAAAATTTAAAGAATCTTGGAATTTTAAATAAAAGATTACAGAATACTTCTAGAGAATATTTTTAAACTTAGTTAACTAAATCTACATTATGCAGGATTAACAAGTATGTTTAATGTAAGATTATGTTTAAACAGCTCCGAAATTAAGAAAAATATATTTTTTAATTTATTTTTACTTGATTTGTATGTTGTGTTAAGAATGTAAAAATATACTTAATGTAGTTTTTGCGTTCAAAAAATAAAGCAGTGAGAAAATGAGTAAGTTGCATTAAATATATATACACGATGAATTATGAATACTTAAATTATAATTACAATGTTCCTGCGCGATAATTTCTCTTCTTTTGTCAAATCTTGTTTAAATGAGTTAAAAAACGTCAAATCGTTATCCATTAAATTGAAGTGGCTGTATTTTTATTGGCCAGACCATTAAACATTTGATTGAGTAACAGTTTAAGATTTACATTTTGCGTTATCGAATATCTATTAAATTTGCGAAGAGATCTGGAAACGTGATATTCGTGGCAAGGTTTATATTCTCATTCGATCAAATAGAGCCTATCAATGTCATTCACGGAACAATGCACACAATTGATTTCTTTCAGCCAATCGGATAGATCAATCGAAGCTATGGGCAAAATACTCGCGAGCAATCCGTAGGATATATAATCCGGAAATGTATGTATGTTCCGATGGAAAACACACACACACACGAAATGTTTTACTACACGAAACGAGCTGGAAAACCTATGCTGGAGGATTTATATGTGACAAAAACGCATTGTTCTCCTACGATTACCTTGGATTCATGCATGAATTGGTTTGATAATTCATGCGAAAAATAGGTTTGTAATGATTCATTATCGAAAACATTGCCTTTTTTCCGTTTTCATAAAAAATAATTGCAATAAATGCATCTACATTTTTATTTGAAGGAATATTGTAAATTTAAATTCTTTTTAGCGATTTCTACAGTAACATATTATTTTTCTAAATTGGAATATCTACATTTTTATTAAACACAATCATTAACAATCTTCGTGAAAAATTAATCTTAAATCGTGACTGTTTTTTTCCAAACAATTTTTATAATATACAACATAATTCTTAAAAGCATATGAAATAAATTTATTGTATAGTTGGAACTCTTTTAAGTATGTGTATTTAAAAATTTATTTTCCATAGTGTGTTTCAAAGAATTAGAAAGGAATTACGATTGCGAGTTAATCTTTGAGATATCAGCTATAAAATTGAAGAAATTTCCGAAACATGATTAAATTTTTTGTACAAACGTTACTATCGGTTCGCACATGAAATATTGAATATCGATTCAACTTCATATATATACACCAACCTTGGCATTGAATTTCCCGGTTCTTCCGCGTGCTCTTTCCCTTGTATCTACCCTTTATTTTCCGGAACGCTTTTCATACCCGTCGTTTTTCTTCCTCCTTTCATGCGCCTTCCATTGTTAGACTAGACGCTTTGAAACTACTTTTCACCCCCCAGGGATCTGTCTATTCGCGCAACCGAGTAATAACCTCGGGTATTTTGTTGTTGCCAGGCATCGAAGAGATTTTGCTTCGATGTTACCTCAGCGAGAAAAAGATATAAAGCTTCCCACCCTATTTCTCCGATATACCCTACTATTGCCAGCTCTCAAGTTGCAAATGTCCTACATTAAACTTCTCTTATTACCGAACCTTCAAATCATAAATCTGCCAAAGAAAATTTCGAAATTAGAGACAAGGGTTTCCGATGCATTTGCATTTGCTGACGTCTAATTAGACCTTTCGATTTCAATTATTTTTAAATTAGAAACTATCAGTCCATTCAAGTTTTTATTGAGAGAAAATCAGCTCGAAATTGATAAAGAAAATCCGTAGTTGTAAAACGACTCAATAGATCTAGGACATCCTATAACTTTAAGGCGTATAATTGGCTATTACTGTTGGAAAGAATGACGTTGTGAGTAATATGTGAAACTTAAGCACTGTACAAATTGCCGTTGTCGGAAACTCTGCCGGCTTTGCCATGCCGCAAGCTGTAGTTTCACAAGCTCTCTCCTTGCACCGAAGAAGCTTTTTCCGCTGCTTTCTTTACGGTCTTGCCATTCTGACGGCTTAAGTCCTTTCTTAGCCGAGCTCGCGTAACGTCACCGTAACGAGATGTAATATTTATATCGCTAAGAAAAATATTTTTGCACTGATGTACAACACACTTGAATTGCATCGGTAATTCTACAAACTCGTATGAGCTGCAGTTCTATTTTTTCAAGTGACGATAGCAGAAAATGTTGGAAAAAAATTTCACCCAGTGAAATTTCCTGTGGTTTGAATTCTTTTGCAGATTCAACCGCAAAATGCAATTGCCCTGCTTTTTTAAAATGGAATCATGATCTTTTTAATTTATTTGACTTTTCTCCTCAATTTATTTATAACGATTTTTATAATAAAAGTTTTATTTGAATAATATATGTTATCACATATCAGTATAAATGAAAACCAATCGCTTTTAGCATACAGAAAATTATTTGAAGTAAATTAACATTTCATTCTTACAAAGAAAATAATGTTCGATACACATTATTTGATGAAGTACAATATTGACACGGAAAATGTTTCAATGCGTCTTTGTTATTTTATATCCGAATTAAATCAATCGTTCTTTTTGCACACCGCATTCTCGACTGCTTCATTCTCGCGTCATAACATTATTTCGCGGTGTCGAGCCGAGCTTTTCGGGATGCGCCCGACGAAATCATCAAGCCGTCGCAGAAATATACGCGCGCACCGCGCCGGAGGTTACTTAATTTCAGTCGCGACTCATAGGGGTGGGTTGATCCAATTATCGTGGTTCACCACGAGCATCAAGGTGGCGGTTTCCATTCTCTCTGCGCCCTTTTGTCACCCGTCAAAGAGAAGAGAGAGAGAGAGAGGAGAGAGTAGTAGTACACCGGTGTTCCTAACGATCTTCGAAAGCAGAACTGATCGGGTGCTACCGCGCGAAAGGGCTGAGAAGCTGGAGAAGCTCTGACAAATTCTACTCGGCAAACGGATATCAATCCGTTTCAAACCTGTTTCAACGGTCAGTTAGCATTTCGACCCTTCCCTAAACTTGATCCATGCAGGGAGCTAAATCGAACCCGAAAATTATAGCGGAAGATTCGAATTTCTCGCTCAGGCAACATTGGAGCGAAGTTTGTAAATATTAAATTTTGGGGAATGTTTAGATATTTGATATAATATGCGATAAAAAAATTGAAAGTGCAAAATAAATTTTATCTGTTGATCAGGCGTATTATGTTAAAAAAAAATGATTTTATGTATAAAGGTTTATTTAATTATATTGATAAAATTATATATTGATAAAATTTATTTACAACTAAAATATTACCGCTACAAGCCGCTAGTGTCACTTTGCATCTGCTATTTCGAGAAAACGATAATCTGAACACATTATAAGACACGTGATATTGTTTAAACACAAGTATTGAAAAGTTGCACGTGACAGAAAATTCTTATTAAATCGACACACATAAATATTAATATGTAATTAAATAGACACAATAACACTTTCGCGTGCAAAATCTTCCTTTCAAGAAAAGAACCTACGCCACTAATGATAAAATTATTCTTTGCTTGTTTTTCTTTTTTACGAGAAACCATTCTCTTTTTCCGTCTTCTCTCCTGCCAATTTTATTACTATTTATTGAACACTAAGTGTAACGCAATATGTGACAGTAATTGACTACACTCTGCAAATAACGGACGACGTCAGCGA